TCAACATTCATTTAAGCAGGCATTCATTCAAGTTAACGATCAAGAATGCTGTTTAGAAATCCAGCGTCATTCTCTTCACTTCAGATTGTGTAGTATCTGAAATTCCTCATCAACTCAAGTTGTTTTTGCGCCTGCACACGGCTTTTTCAAGCAGGAACTGTATAAATCATTATCATGTCTTAAATTTCGATATCCATAGAAGTATACGAACCAATGAAACTTTGTGGCGTTTCTCATCTCTTTCTGAATGGTCTATTGACCAAATGATTCAGTTGTGCGAAACACCCTATTGAAAAAGAAAAGCAAACGCTTGTAAGTGGTTCCCATAATAAAACACTAGTTTACCTTCAAATTCGGCTGGTATCAACCACCAACTTTTAGGGATTAAGCACATTTATGAGGATTGTTTAAAAATCAGTTTTAAGGAATACACAGCATACAGAATACAGATTTTGAGTTTTGCTTCCCCGGTAGTGACGTAACTCCTTTTACGAAACTACGGTCATATTGTTTATGTACTTGGTTTGGTTAACAATACAAATGGCATTTGGAGAATTATTTCAGCTCCAAAGCACCTCTACTGTACCACACACAAATAAACGTGATCTCGCTTAATCTGTTTCTCTGATTCATGTCACTTCATGGCCTATAAAAAAGCGCCGTATTTGGCTAGAGAATGAAGACCCCGAAACGAGCGTATTCGCAATTGGACTTCTTCCCATAGGATGTGTTGTTTCCTCCTGATGGGCATTTTTAGGCCCACTACGGCCTTCGGTTTCGAGACGCTGGTGCACTCATTTGAAAATAATGGTAGGAGGCCCCTGTATGTATGTTTAAGTATCATCTAAAATCTTCCTCTTTGAGCATCTCTTTCATTTCCAGTCGGAATCGACAATCGGTTGCTTACGTTTTGGATTTAGTTAGGTCCAATCTGCTTGATCTAAACCTTTCGTTGTTTTTCATTTGCTCGTAGATAAGATTTTTTTATCTGTCATGATCGTCTATAGGAAACTACGCTGTCTGCGTAAGAGCTAATTGTACAGTCAGTCTCACATCGCAGCTGATTTGTACGATCTTTTTGTATGTAAAAGCAATTTGGTGCCCCTTTAAACTAACTCACTCACTAAGCCGGTTGAATCCGTACATTTTGTGCAAGAGGACATTTTAACTGCGTTTGTCCCAGGATGGCAATCAAGTAGCTTGCAGCTACTTTTGAATCGGCTGCTCCTATTTTTTGCAGCACCAAAATGACTCGGCACTTCACAACAACTGCATGTGTTACCTTCCTTTGATAGCTCGTGGTATGTGAGCCAGGGAACTGAAAAGATAAAGCTGTGAACAAAAACAGTCGGCCATGTTATCCGTTTGCTCAATGGATATATTTATCTATCACTTATCTAATCCATACTTATTCCCGTCATGATATTCACCAATTAAAAACCGTGAATTCCCTGCTTCTCACAAATCATGTGCTTGGTCCTACTCATAAACGTGCTTGAATAAAAAAATACAGATGGGCCGGATGACAGACTTCACTTGCATGCACCTCTCCTGTCAAGTTGGTTTTGTTATCACTGGTCAGCGCTAACGTTCGTTCACTATTCGTGAAGAGCTCAGATTCAACCTCTATTCTGTACACACGCTTTAATTTCAACGCGTTTTCGTGTAAAAGAAAACTGATTGAATCGAAACGTTGAGAACATACTTGTGCGAATATATGGTTTGGACTTTTACCGACAGGTTAGATACCGAAGTAAGAGAAAGAATAGAGGTGACTTGGTAATGGCAAGTCAAAAGTGGCATTTAGTTATCATGAAATATGTATCTACTAGTGTTATAATTCCAGAAGGCGCTACCTGGACGAGGGTAGTTATTCATTAAGAATAGCGATCAGGATGTCGGTAAAATGGCATACATCCAATAAGATATCTCCTTTGGAAAAGGTCCCAAGAATCCCGACAAAGCATACAGGATAGTTAATGGAATGGTCCACCAGTAGATGCGCATTCTTGTAGTTACCATAATGAACACAGCAATCCACTCTAACAGAGCTTGTTCACTTTTGACCGTGGAAAGACACCACCTATCTCATCCACTTGCGAATTGCTCACAAATGTGAATAGTATCTCACAACACCAATTATCTGTTCATTACCATCCATAATTCTCCGCCGTGAACATATATCCCCATCATGCTTTATGATAGGTACCTATGCTTTCTACAAATTATTTATCCCGTCTTTAGTTAAGTTTGTAGATGAAAGTTTTGACTTACTTGTTTGGGACTTCAATCATACCAGCATTTTGCCTCTGCCTCAGTTTAGCTCATCTGCCTTGCTTCACGTTGTGCTGAACGCAATGGTCACAATCTATCCCTACTTGTTTTCTCTCAAACTGATGACCTATGTTGCTACCAGTTATTATTGCGTTCCGTTTATTAAACGGAACGTGTACTCCCGTACTGCTTAACAAACCATACTTCTTTGACATATCAAATTCCATCTACTAGCCCTTTTACTAATGATTGAGAAGGCACAAAGAATGAGCCCAACCATTTTGACAGGCATCGATCGCACTACTCCATCTGAATGTAACATTTGCTGTCCAGATTCTGCAAAAAGAGAACGCTAAGCTTCCATAGCAAGGTATCTGCGGGAAGAACAGTTATTACTGGAATATACCGGTGTGCATAAATAGCCTAAAAACGGCAAACATCTACCCATCAAACAAGTGACAGAGTCTCTTCTTACCGTGAGGTGATTCCATTTCCGTCTCATCTTCTAATGACAAAATCGTTTAGCTTCTTTGGTCCTCAAAAGTATTCTCTCTGCAAGATCAATAGTCTCCCTTCCGCACCTCCCAACGTTAGAATTGCCGTCCAAGAAAATCTGATGTAATTCATGAATAATAAAACCTTTCTTCCCGGTTAATTCCTGACGTTATGCCATCATAATTTTAATCCCCAAGGTCTCATCGTCAATCAATTTTGCGAGGCGATTTTGAACTATCGTTCTGATCTCCACAATTATAAGTTGGACTGCCATCTTGATCTGCTTCCAGTTGAATACCGCAAGTTCATTTGATCTGCAGTACGCATACAAATCCAGCAGATCTAAACTATAAGGTTTGTCTCCTATAAACCATTGTATTCGTAAATTGTTGGACAATTCAGCCAGATATGTACGTTGTCTTTTTATTGACTATTTCTCTGCGTTTGATTCTGCTTCTCGATGATCCCACTTTTCAAACTTGAGTCGTTTTGCACTCATAGACATCTGATCTCACGGGTTTTTGAATATTTAACAGGAAGGGTCCACGGCCCCAAATTGAGCAGAAGTAAATCAAAAACCCCTAGTTGATGATTGCGGCGTGCTTCAAGGTTCTCTTCTACCTTTTGATCCCCCTTTTTTGCTTTCATTAGTGATATTTCGGTTTCATCTCCTGCATACATCAAAAAATGGGCTGATGATGTAGCTTTGTGTCAACCGATTTCCTTCACTAAAATTCTAACCCGAATGAATCACTTATCCAACCAATCTGGTCTTGATTTTAACACATCCAACTAACTATAGCACATTTTCAATCTTTTCCGCTACCCTATGACTAGGATGACATCTATCAAGTACCTGGGTGTCACTATCAACAGTAATCCCCTGTGGCTCTTACACATTTACAATTGAATGGGGAAACTGAGTCGCCCCTCCCATCAGATGTCGAATCGCAGGCAGTTCCGAACCCCACAATCAGTTCGTCCACCAATAGGTTTTCCCAATTCTAGTCTTTTGCTTCCTTTATTGTTCTCGGCCTTTTAAAACAAGAATTCAAAGCCATTCGTCGGAGTTTGGTGATAATCAGTCGTGTTCTATCGATTCAAATTGAGTCAATAATCTCATAAATAAATAATGGTCAAATCAACCCTTGTATTAACCTCACCCACAGGATGCTGGACGACCCTATTCATTCACTACAACTTTGTTTATCTACTTTTCGTTACCATCCATCTACATGCTCCTTCATTCGTAGCTACTCTCTCGTATACACATGTGTAAGGTTTCCCTTGCGTTCTATCCGGCTTGACTTCTGGCCAAGGGACCAAGGTTGCCATTGAATTACGTGAGACCTGCGTACATAAATCAAACATTCACATTTTATGCATTCTGAGGGGCTGTGCGTGCACCAGTTTAAATCCCCCACAAGGTCGCCAACATATGTACAGGTGTTGATCGAGCTAGTGCGACACCGTGACTTTGTCAGCTTCCCCCTACCCAAAGCTTGGTATTTTAGCCTCATTCACGGGATTGATTATAATATTGCCTACATCAGATGCAACCTATGTGTAATAATACCTAATTATGGTTTTGCTTCCATTAATTGAATGCTTGAAACCTATACGATTTCTCGATTTCGACGACGATTTCTGGTGCATCCGTTGTAAGACAAGGAAACCTAAGTAGAAGAACATCATTAGAATGGGGTTATATAAATTACGCCCGAGAATGATGCAGATATTTTAATTTCATTTTGTCTATGCCCTCTTTGCCCTAAATCTTTGAGTACTGGGGCTCGTTGTTGTTGTGTGGCAAACAGGATTTGTAACTTTCCCCAAATACATGCAGCACCCTGGTCACTAATATCCGCTGTCGAGGTAGCCAGCTTATCCCTGTTTCCAACACAAGGAAGAGCTTACGATTACACTCAAAGTCAAACTGTACAATTCATATAAATAAACAATACCTTAGATAGTTACGAAATGGTAAGTTTAGAGTAAGCAGCAGCGCATTGTTTCGGATTACAGGGTTAGGAAAAAACTGTCGAAACTCAAGTGGTTACTCATTTAACGAATCTCAGTAGGCTATTATCATCCTGATATTTTATCAATACATCTTATACACAATCGGTAGTCGACCTTAGCAAAGTTCAATGTGTACATCAAGTTATACTTAGCTTATAATGACAACAAAACACATTTATAAATATGTTTTCAGATAAGTGAAAATTGTTTTACGTGAATTGCAAAACTATATTTAACACTAAATATATTTCACGGATATATTGAACACTCACTCCGCGATGGTCATATAATTTCGGCATTTTGTAGGTCCCTCGTGGCAGTGTTCCGAATTTGGCGGATAGGCATTTTGCAGTGTACGGACGAACAAGATTAATGGTGGTCACAAATTTGTCTGTTGACATGTGCCCATTATTGGGATCAGTAGCTGATTTGCCACGATTCTGACTGGTCGGAATAGTTTCTCGACTTTTTTCACTGAGTAGTCGAGCATAGCGCTCCGGTTGAATGGAATTTCGATTATTACGGGCTGGAGGATTGGGTTTCCAGGCACGTAAACTGAAATCTGGAGCTGGCCAGTCCCATGCACCGATAATGGATTCACTAGTTGGACAGATCGCACAATTGCTTCGCTGTCGATAGTACTTTGTGGTGGCAAGAACATGCTTTTGGGTGTCAAAACCTGTCTCCTGAAACAGCTCAGTGTGCATCATTTAAACTGAAGGAATAGGTAAACACAATGGATTAACAGTTGGTTTATAATTTCGACTATTTGCAACTTCAAATGGACCGACATTGTCAATGTGTGAATGTCAAGGTCATTGCAGATTAGTGATCGATCTGTTGCTCAAATGTCTGGAAAGTTTTCAGGACACTCAGTGATTTCCAGGGGTCCCGTTATTAAAGTTTCATATTCGTTTTGACAAACAACTAAATGCACTTTACGTCTCTAAGTGTGGTCAGCTGATCTCAAGTTCACCGAGTGGACTCGAACGATTCCGGTAGGTTAACACCACATTACGTGGCATAAAAAATACTGCGCACACAAAACGGCTAAGTTTATTTTGAATTGTGAATCCAGGGTTCTGATGCTTCGTCGTTTGTTCTACATAAACATTCGGCATCAAGCAACCAATTTTAAAGAGTGTACTGGTTTTATCTCACAAGTTAACCATCCAGCATTCAATGAGGTTATCTGTAACGTGAAAAAGAACACACCGAGTGCAGAACTGTGCACGACACATCCACTGCTTTTGCAACTCGTGAACACAAGTTCAACCACTGTCAACGTGAGAGCATAAAGAAGCAATGCATTAGTAATTGGTTCGTGTCTTCGGAACCTGTCACTAATGACCCAGTTATACAGTGCTTCACAGGTGCTTCCAGGTAAACGTTTGCGGTAAACAACATTTGCATCTCTCAACTGGACATGAAACTGAAAAGATGTACAAGAACAATCACGCTATCATTATCGTACCGAGTGATATATATATATATACCTATGTGCCCCTCACTAACAAACTTGATTCATATATTTTGCTTATATCTGAGTAATATGTTGAGTAATCAAATATAAACCCCTAGTTGAATTCTTGTACGAACAAATGAGCCACGTGTAATAAAGAAAGCAAGTGGTTCCCGGTTTTGAGAATTAAAGACAGACTACGTCCGTGATTGAACAACAGGCAAGTGATTCTTTTGAATGTAACCGGTAAAAGGCGTACCGAAACCCACACAAACAGAAAAAAAGGACAGGGAATTTTTTACCAAAGGATTTTTTTCTTTATGCACCCTTAGGGGAATTCAGTAGCGCTTCGTAGGCTGAAACGTACTGGACGCGATCAACTCAAATCGATGCATTTGATAAGAAGGTGTTTTCACTTTGATCGTGTACATGTGGAAACTTTCACAGTTGACCTAATGACCAGGTTTCTGTCTTAAAGGCTCACAAGAAAGAATGATCGAAACTGTCGAATTCCGAGTACTCTAATCCAAACTGTTCAACGGCTCAAGCGGCGTTTATGGGTGGGCTCAAGTTTCACCGTGAATCCTAATATATTTTCTTTAATGTGTTATTAATGGTTTCGCAAAACCTATAAGAAAATGAAATTCCATTAGCACCCAATAAATGTTCTCTTTTACTAACTGTTCAAATGCACAGGCACCATAACCTTCCAGCAAGTGTTTTTCAGAACGTTTATCTAGAGTGTTTTTTAAACTGTGTATTACGTGGTACTTTTAGTTAATCCAGCAATATATATATATACATATATGTAGTGGTTGTGAGACAGGATCGATAGCACTCCGCAAGCACCACTGGTTCCAGACAACAAACTCGGGCAAGATCCCAAACAGTCTCGTAAACTCAAGGACGCACAATCAGATTGTCTGAACTTTGGAACCTAACCGAACAGACCATACCTACAATGACTGGACGGGAAGAATGGGCCGCCATGCAATTTTGATCTGTGATATCTATTTGCATGCGTTTCTCGACAGAATTGACTTTATATGGTGCATTTTGTCGTGCACAGTGCAAATAAAGCGTGAACTGAGAAGCCAAGAATGATGGAACGACCTGATTAAGTTTCATCAACTGTACAGTACTTCCTAGGTTTACGGTTCCACACTTCATTAGCTCTCTCTCCATGATGAAATCCCCTATATATAATAAAATCAAATCCCATAGTACCGTGATGTAACTAACCTGATTCATATCAATCGCTTATCGACCACAAAGCTCATGAGTCAATTGTTTGGACTCTCAGTGGGTACATAGAATGCAGCGCAGCGCAGAACACACCCAAGGAGGACAAAACGACCGTCCAGTGCCCTTCGTCACCAAAAAATTGCTATCATGCAAGAACACTTTTATTACTTTATTACTTGATCCTTGAACACTCTTCGAAAAATCAATCTTCATTGTCAACAACTTTTTACATGTCATACAAATGAGTCAAAACTGAATTCAATCCCAGTTCTGAAAAAGATAAAGGATGCTTGATTTTATATATGGCATGTAAAATAACTACTGAACCATCAGTGAGTTACTAAAATTGCTACACACTTCATATCCCATGAACACTGAATGGCATTCCGATAAGTTGGGAGCATCACTCACACACAAATGGACTTTTGGGTTGACCGAAGCACGGTGTGATCCGTCCCACCCAGCCATTGGCTCTTTTTAGACCTTCGTTCGCCTTGTTCCGCGGCGACTTTTACATCCGCTGCGATATATGCATGCACATTGTGACAACTAAACTCCGACATAGTAATAGAGGAGGTATGCAGTAGGCAGTTAAGTGAAAGTTTACCTCAAAAAGAAAGAACTACTATTTGAACAGAATGGTGTTTGAGCTGACACAGAGCTTCGATTCCACCACCAACAGCACCACAACCACCACCAACACAATCAATCAAATCATTTGTGACAACCTGGTTGATGACAGAGTGCATCATCCATTCCCGGCGTAGCCTACACTCGTTTCTCGAGATATTTGTCGCCTCAGGTCTACATAAACCCTGGTTGGATACTAAGCCTATCGTTTTTCAAAGATTACCAATTTTACTGTGCATCTATCGTCTCATTTTATTCACTAAAACAGTGGATGTACTGTTTGACATGTGAAACACAATGAGTAAACTTTTGTGTACATTTGGGAAAGGTTGAACCAGATTAGTTTCAAAATTTTTAGTGCAACTTCATTCGCTGAGACTGCGCGAAATAAACACGGACTTCAAGTTAGGAACAGTTCGACTTTGAACACGCGCTCACATGTGAAACAATAACCTTTTTATGCTTTCACACAATCGCAGCCGGTTGCGTATACTCTTGACCACAAGGTAGGTTACGTCCTATCACGAACTGGAATCCAACATTGAGGGATCCGATTAAAATGCTATGATAGAGAAGTCCTCGATCATATGAGGACGTGAACTGAAAAACGTAGAGCTCTGTAAAATTAATTCCACTTTTTGGGTTTCTTCATAAATAGTTACAATTCATTGGTTCAAATAAAGATCAAACTCAAGAACTAGCGTATAAAATGAAATCATACAAAAACGACAAAAGTTTTATGCCACATGGATTTTTCAATTATCTTCGCTCTCATACACACGGACATCGCCAGGTTTGAGAATATGGACGGTAACTAAATGACAAACTGACATACGAAATTTTATCCAATTTTATCCAATGTTTCAATGAAAATATAGAAAATATAGAAAAATATGGAAAAACAATTTTTTCTACAACAAACCTATTGTATTCTCTAAAGAACTTTACTCATTGAAGCCAAGGCACTAAACACTCCATCGTTAAACTTCAACATACCTTAGCGGCATGCCATATGAGAACTTTCAGAAATGTCTTCAATAATATTTTTCTAAGCTGCAACCAGGGATCCTGCCAATTAGTGTTTTTCGGTGTCAATCTTTCCTCCCTAGTACTGATTTCGGACAAGAATAGCGTGAACGTTTTCCATTAGTTTCGAATCTGGGCTGAACGCAGGTTGCATCACTGCTTTGATACCGACACAAAATGACCAGTTATTTAGAAGTTATTTACTGCCGCATTATCATAGTGAAAAATGGTTTCAGGTTTATCATTTGGTGTGATTGATGGTATAAGTTGCCTTAACAATATACTAATATATCCAGTAGAATCTCCCACACTACATAAGGCGGCGGGTTCAGTTGGGCCGTTGCTTGGTGAGTCACATCGCACCATCACGTACTTACTAGCATTAATCCGCTTCCTTGAGTTCCCCTCCCCCCTTTGATTCCCAGATAGTATCAGTAGTATTTCTACGCCTCAGATTGATCTACATGTGATGACCGAACCCGTGTCTCATCACCCTCAACTTACAAGTATATTTCACTTTCCACTATCATCTTTGATTATCAGTAGCCATGGGTAAACAGCATTTATTCTGAACTTGATCTTCCACTGTAACGTTTTTTAATTCTCTTGTTTTACTATTTTAATTCTCATAGCCTAGATTGCCACGGTAAACGTTTTAGCGGTTTGATTGTTACGAATTTTACGATAAAGAGCCGCCTGGAAGTCTAACAGGTCTAACAGGCCACTTCACAAGCACTGACGATGTCACCTCGGCTGGTGATAAAACGTTCGTAAACAAATTGCCAAGCTCGACGAACAGGCGAAATAGAATTCAGTTCACCTGAGCTACCAGAAACGATTTTCAATACTTTGTCAACAGGTGATTATCGTTTCATGAAGTGGGCATTCCTGTCAATCGACATATTCAACGTAACACATATTTTCTTGCAATGCTAAGTAGATGTTCCAGTGAATAGTGTTTTTATCCTTTATAGACTAAAAGCTATGTAACTAAGAAGTGTTTTTGTAAAATCTTTCATCACGAAGGAACTACAATTTTATTCCAAGAAACGCCAAAATTGACTTTCTAAAGTCATTCTTTAAGTGTGCGACTCACTTGACTGGCGGTTTAAATGTTACTATCCATAAATGGGATGAAGCATCGAAGAGTTTTTGGTATGTCAATGAAGCAGACCGCTTTCTTATTAGTGAGGCGTACAGATCCGGTGTCTCAGGTGCTCCGACGTAAATGCACGCACAATTGGTTGCATATTCAGGGAGATCTTTCCAACAAGGCTGCAATTCAGATGAAGGAAATCAACCATATGGAGGCAAGGCAACGATCGCACACAGTCGCAGCAGATAAAT